ATGCCATTACCAGTTGTGATTTGAAGACATCAAAACATAAGAGTTGATCTGGCTTCATCTTCCTGCCATTAACCAACTCATGCCCTTCTCCATTAAGACCCATTAGCATCCATGAGGCGTGGCAAAGACAGGACAGTGTTCCCTCTCTGGCATAAATGCCTGAGGACAGAGGGCCCTGAATGTATAATCCACAGAAGCATCAGAACCCTCAATAACAGCAGTTCCCTACCCACAAACCTGTTTCACCACTACTGGTCTTGGAGTGTCATGACAACTCAGGCCAAATGTATTGGCTTTGGTTAAAACCCAAGAACTGTGATGGACAGGATGTTAATAGCCCCCACACTATCCAGAGTGTCTCCTCACCTGTACTGAGGGAGCCATTGGCTTCCATGCTCCCAAATTCACTGGAACTGCTACTTTCCCCTCCTAATCATCCTGATAAGGAGCTGATGCCAAGGCAAGATATCCCTGTCTCCTGCCCAGGGAGGGAAGGGATCTCTACATGAAGCTCAGAGAATGGCATCTCCTGCTGGACTTCAAGGAGAACATCATCACTGAGTGGGCCTGATGGTGTCTCTTGCAGTGGCCCTGGGAGGTCTGCGTTGAGTGAGCTGGGTGGTTCCTGACTGATGTCATGGCAGGGTTCCTGGGTTTATTTTTTGCAATGGTCCCAGAATGACTTGGCCTGGCTTTTACATTCCACTGGCTCCTGCCCACAACAAACCTGTACCATGTGCACTTTATCCAAGGTGTGTTCCTATTGCCTTCAGTGTGAGCTCTGGGACCTGATTTCCTTCCTTTCCAGAAAGGCAGAGACCTCCAGATCTTGCCCCAGACAAGAGTCTTTCCTTCCAGCAGTGGGAAAGGGGCTGCTCTATCGTAGGGGAAGGCAGGGGTGCCTTCATTTGGTAGTGGAGCCATCTAGGAAGCCTTCCTTCTCCACATCCTTTTGATTTTGTCCATGCTGCAACCAAACAGAACCAGTAGTCAGTCTAGGATCAATGCAGCCTCATTCCCTACCCCTGAGGCCACTCCTCCAGCCAATCCCCCAGGCATTCCTCATTCCTTGAGAGCTGCACGGTCTCAAGGCTTGGAATTAATTTAGAAGAAAAAGTACCTCATCCAGTCCTAGGGCATACTCCTTCCATACCCCTCCCTCCCAGACTAGAAAACAAAGGCAGACTGCCTGTCACTCTCCCTCTCACTGGCTGAATGCAACGGTTCTTTTGATGCTACATAGACAGGCAGCATGTATTGGAAGAACTATACATTCGAGAAAATCATAAACTTACCACAGAGCATTAATGGAAACAAAAGGTGGCAAACCCAACAAACCCATTCTTTGTTTGGAATTATTTGCACCTAAATCCCTTCTATTACCTCAAAAATGAATCCCGTTTAGCCAATCAGCACTGAGGCTGAAGGCTATGTGATTTCTCCACATGCCCCGAAGGCAGCTCACCATCAGAGTACCCTAGTCCAGCTCCATCAACTTCTTCCCCTCCCTGCTCAGCCAAGAGCCAAGTGCTGCAATAAATAAATTATTTATTGAAATGGGGTGCCAGACAACCCACAGAAGTTACAAAGGGGTTTCGGGAGCCTAAAAAGGTTTGGATTCGGGCAGTGTTGTGCATGCAACACATTCATTCCAGTGTTTTTTAAACCAACACATCAGATATCCACCCTGAACCCAAGCTCCCAGAACTCTAGGGACAAGCTCATTTGTAATCAAATGCCCCTTCCATTGATTCTGACCTGCCTTTCTTTCATTTCCCACAGATAATAAACCACTGGGCCCAATTTAGGCAACCCCACATAGAAACTAGAGCTCTAAGGGCTGTCACCCCCCTGCTTCAGTGGATCTCCAGTGGTCAAAAAAAAAGCCCTGAGCTGCAAGGCACCAGCGTAGGAAATGCCTGAATTTGCTGTATGTGGTGCCGCAGACGTGTCTCTGGCACCACATACCACACAGCCATGCTTGCCTGGAGGCAACCTACAAGAATATTCTCTATAGCCTGCTCCTTTGGGTTCTGCTTTACCTTGGGTCCCACACAAGGTACTGGCGAAGGTGGTCTTCTTGGAGAGCTCTGCCTGGTCTCTTTCCTCTGGACTCTTTTAGAGAATTAGGCTTTTAGCTCTCTCCTCCAGTGCATGCTGCAGCAAGACTCAAAGAAAGACTTCTGCCCAAGGGAGGCTGGGAAGATGAGGTAGATGCTTTGATAGGTTGCCCTCTTATCTTCCTTGCATTGGAACTCCTCTGACTTCCCCAAGGGGCAGCTGGTGGTCCCACTGGGTCTTCAGATCTCTGACCCAGCAGAGGATACTGGCAGCCTGGCCAGAGAGAGGATTTGTAGGCTGTACAAATTGGGACTGCACCAGAGTGGTAAACAAACCTGGTCAGATAATGGGACCCCAATAGAAGACTACCCCCATCCTCTGAAACTAACTCCAGCTAGATACCAAGTCTCTCTCCATTTCTCAACCCTATTCCCCAACTATTAGGAACAGATGAGTGATGACTTAAAGCTTGTGAGTGTTACCAAGATGTCTTATCCTATGGATTCATTGATTCATAGATGTTAGGGGCCAGTAGGGACCTCAGAGATCATCAGGTCCAGCCCTCTTGCTCAAGGCAGGAAAGACTGCTGAGGTTAGACGACCCAAGCAAGGTGTGTGTCCTGTCGTCTTTTGAAGATCCCCAGGGAAGGTGACCATACAACCACTGGAGGGGAGAGGAGTCTATTCCAGATCTGGACACATGAACTGTAAAGAAGTTTTTCCTAATGTATAATCTGAAGCGATCCTCTATCAATTTATGACCATTATTCCTAGTCTCCCCTTGGTGAACAGGTGCTCTCCTAGACCCTGATGTTCACCCCTTATGATCACCTTGGGGGTGGGGATGTTCACCTTGGCTGCCACCAAGGTGCCCCCCCCCCACCCTGAGTCTTCTCTTCTCCACCAAGTCTTCTCTTCTCCAGGCTGAAAAGCCCCATATCCCTCAGCCTCTCCTCATATGGTCTGTTCTCCAGACCTCTAATTATTCGTGTGGCCCTCCTTTGAACTCTTTCCAGGTTCTCCACATCCCTCTTGAATTGCAGCACCCAGAACTGGATGCAGTATTCCAGCTGCAGCCAAACCAATGCAGAGTAGAGCAGGAGGATCACATCCTTAGTCTTGCTTGCGATGCACTGGTTTAGGTATGCCAGTGTAGTTTGCCTTGCAGGCTATAGCATTGCACTGGTGGCTCTTGTTCATTTTATGGTCGATCATGAACCCCAGGTCTTTTCAGTCTTTAGACAGCAGACTTTAAAGAACAGCAGACTCTCCCTATGCCTGAAGGATGTTTGTGCCCGAAAACTTGCAAAAAAACAATTTTTCCAACCATTTAGTTGGTCTAATAAAAGATATCACATTAACCCAAAGAACCTTGTCTACCCTGAAAAGTCACCATTCTTTTCACAACTCATGAAATCCACAGACAAATCTTCTGCTTAAAACAGAGAGGCCCTTTGTGTGAGCTCAAAAGAAAAATCTGGTTCTTTTCTCTTAGGCTGGTAACATTTCAGGAGTCTTTGTTTCAAAATAACAGCATTGGTTCTGACCTTGATCAGGGTATACTTACATTCCAAATTATTTCTTAAAATGGTCATTGGTGTGGGTTTTTTTTTTTTGTCCAACTAAACCAAAGTGTCAAGATTTTTGGGCCCTTTCCAAAACCTTGTAATTCATCTGAACAAGTTAGAGCAAGGGCTGTTAGCACTGCAGAATTCTTTTACAAATCTCTTGTCATTTTCCGCAGTAAAGCTAAAGAATTAAAATTGATTTAGTTGCCTAAATAGATTAAGTAATGTATTCAAACCTACTGTGGTTTGACAGAACTGTTCCTTTCACTTTACCTAGGGTTAACATATGTCTGGCTTTTGCTAGACATGTCCTCTTTTTGGGTCCTCCCATCTCCATCCAGGCAGTTTTTCAAAATATCAGCAAATGTCCACTGCAGGTCAGGAGTGAAGGGTATCAAGACATATAAATAATTATTTTGGAAAAAAAAAAAAAAGAAACCCTATCAGAGATCTTCAAAGGACTGGATGCACACCTCATTGGGGTCATCTGACCTCAGCAGTCTTTCCTGCCTTGAGCAGGGGGGGCTGGACATGATGATCTGAGGTCCCTTCCAGCCCCTAACATCTATATGAATCTAGCCTGTGATATGCCCATGGGTCTCAGACCACATGAATTGATACCCCTATTACAATCTAACTAAATTAAAATGCAGTCAACAACTGTTTGGATACAGGGCAGCAAACAAGTTAAGTTACCTGCAGCTGGTCCTAGTGACCTGCAAGGTGTCTGTAGGCACATAAGCAGGAGTTGCCTATCACAGATGCTCCTGTCTGAATGCTTGCCAGGTCCTGCCCTCCCCTAACCCCTTGGCTTGTGACTCCTGTCTGGATCCCTCCTTCTTATCCCTGACCCCTTGGCTTACAACTGCAATTCAGATGCCTCCATCGTGACCCCGCCTGTTTGGGACTCCTTTTAGGCCCCTGACAATAGTACTGGCAGCAGGGACCCAAACTTCCTCATCAACAGGACCCCGTATGGGGCTCCCTCTTGCTTGCTCTTCTAACCATGACTTCTGTCGTCCTTTCCGTTCAGGCCCAGGCTCCATCAGGGGTGGTGGGGGAGCCGGGCCTGCTGAGGAGGGGACTGCACTGACCCTCAGGCTGACACCCTAGCCCTGGCTCCAGGGGCACCCCTTCCCCCCAGAGCAGAGCACGCTACCAGCCTGGGCTGCCCGCTAAGCCCAGCCCCAACCCCTGGCTCACAGCCCAGGCCAACTGAAAACTAGACATACGGCTGCACAGCGCGCCACACCCCCCGCACGGCCTGCGCGTACCCACCAGCACCCCACCCGCGCTCCTGCCGAATGCGCACGCGCAGAGTTCCTGGCGCGCTGGAAAGTAGGGCGGTGAGCAGTGGGCGTGGCTAGGGCAGGGCCGAAGCGGAAGCTAGCGTGGAGCGGCGACAGGGTTTGAGCCATGGATGCCAGTGCGCTAGAAGTGGACGCCCTACGGTTTGCACAGCTCGCGGTGCAGCGCGACCAAAGCGGCCGCTACCGGGAGGCGGTTTTCTACTACAAGGTACCGGCTCCCTCCCTCGCCCTGCGATTTTTGTCCTGTACCAGCCCTCTTCCCCCTCCCCCCCGCACCGGCCTGTGGTTCCGTCCTGTTCCAGCCCCCTCTTCCCCCCACTTCGGGGAAATGGAACGACCCAGGCCCGTGGGTTGTTTCCACCCTCACGAACTTCCCCGTCTGAGCGCGTCATATGGGAGGGGCGGGGCCTCGTCTTATTCCGGGATAGAGCCCGTTGTCCCAGGATAAGTGGGAGCGAGGCTCTGCAGCTGTTTTGGGCATTTGGTTTATCCTGGAGCAACCCAGCCCAGCCATGCTCATTCATGGTTGTGTCACACCTGCCTGCCCAACAGCTTGGCCCTGATTTGGCAGTGTCCCTCAGCGCAAGCTCATTGGGACCAGTCCATGTCCCCTCCATTGACCCCTCCAAGGCTGGGTCGGGCCCCACCTCACTGTTGTGCATGTCAGAGTGGACCCGTGGGCTGGATCCAGCCTGTCAGCAGCCTGAGCACTGTCCTTCTGGCCCACAGCAGGAAAAAGTTGGGCACCACAGTTCTAGCACCCAGATGTAAGATCAAGGTACCTGTACACATGGAGTGTGGATTGGGGGGAAAAAATGTTTCCTATACATCACTTTTTTGAAGATGTTCATGTTTTGTTCATTTCTGGATTTTGATTATTCTTACATGAAAAGTAATGGTTTAGTTGATCTTTATCCATCTGGATCAAGTTTTTAAATAATTTTAGATCAGAAGCAATGAACACAGGGTACTGGTGAAACAAGATACTGTCCCCAGGTCTGTGAACGTATGAAGTGATATTTAAAAAACTTCAATAAAAATTAGGGAGCAAATGAATGGCATGCAAACAACATAATGACCGTGAGACCATCAGTGACATACAGACATCTACACAGAGGTTTGCACTCTTGCTTAGTCGAACAAAAAATGTGGTTCTCTAATATAAAGAAGACCTACAATGTGGTTCTTTAGATCCTCAATAAGCTCATTGTAATTCTGGAGATGCTGAAGTCCTGACTTGAAACAAGCTTTGCTCACACAGTGGATTGTTCTTTAGGTCAGTGACTTTCCAAGCAGGCGTGAGTCCACCTACACAAAGTTCATGATAGTATTTGGCAGAAAGTGCTTCTCCATACAGCAGGCAGACTTATGCATTTTATCTTTTCCCTTCCCAGGAGGCTGCGCAAGCCTTGATTTATGCTGGAATGGCAGGCTCAAATTTGGAAAATATTCAAGAGAAAATAAATGAGTATTTGGAGAGAGTCCAAGCTTTGCATTCAGCAGGTGAGGAAAAAAGCTTTCTAATTGTACCTTTGATTAAATTCATTGAGTGGGAAGAGTTTTTTGTCTTGTGAACCATATAGCAGAACAGCCATCTTTCTCCTGATATCCTCAAGCATTTGGTTTTACTATACAAGACTGAAAAATACCAAACACATGGCTGGTAAATTAAATCCTAAGGTAAAACTTTAATGTAAAGAACTACCAGTATTTCATGTGAGCAGTGGTGGATATTTATGCTCTTTTAAAATTTATCACAAAATTTATTTAAATTTATGTGAGAAAATACTCTAGAGGAGAACTGACCCCCGCCCCCACTTCACCTCGCATGCTTAAGCTCTATCCTGCAGTGAGTTCTGTACGGATGAACTCCTGCCCCAGTGCAGAGCACTTTGGCTTCAGTGGGACTGTGTAGTTGCAGGGGGTCCACTCTGATGTTTTTGAAAGATACGTATTTGGGTCCAGACCTTAGTTTCATGAATCCTTGCAGCTCCCAGCAAGTTTTGCTGAGTTCTTTTGCTGACCAAACAAGTTGCAACTTAAGACCATTGCTCCAAGGGAGGTTTAGGTTGGATATTAGGAAAATCTCTCTCACTAAGGGAGTGGTGAAGCACTAAAACAAGTTACGTAGAGAGGTGGTAGAATCTCCATCCCTGAAGGTTTTTAAGGCCCAGCTTGAAAAAGCCCTGACAGGAATGATCTAATTGAGGATGGTCCTGCTTTGAGCAGGGGGCTGGATGAGGTGACCTCCTGATGGTCCCTTCCCACCCTCATTTTCTATGATTTATCCTGACAGAAGTTATTTCCACAAGTAGGAAAGGGTCTGGTATAAATAAACAACTTGTCTTTGTGTGGTACTATATGTTTGTATTTGTTTCAGTTCTAAGATTTCCTACATTACCATCATGGGATTCTACAGGTGTATGAACCCTTTTGTTTAAAATTGGACTCAAATTTAAATATGCCAACATTGGGTTTTGGCACATAAGCAAGTGCTACCTTTCTGCCTAGTTTGTTCTTGGTTGCTGTGCTGTATTAAATACTTGTATGCATCATTACAGCAAGCTAAAGAATTTCCTTTCTCATTTAGTTCAGTCGCAGAGCATCGACCCTTTGAAGTCAAAACAGCAATTGGACCTAGAGCGTGCCCATTTCCTGGTTACGCAAGCCTTTGACGAAGACGATAAGGGCAACGTGGAGGACGCTGTAGAATTATATACGGAAGCAGTGGAACTCTGTTTGAAAACAGTATGTTAAGCTACAAGTTAACTTGGTGGAATTATGTTATGGTAAGCAATTCTTCCATTTACACAAGTGATTGACTTAAACTGGCTTAAAAATATAGTACCTGTATTAAAATTCTATTTTTTTTTTTTTTTAAGTTTTTAAACATTTTTGTTTTGCCTTTTGTTCTCTGTATCCCACTGAAAGAAACTTGGCTTACTCTGGTCCACTGTTTGAGGCACTGCGTTTCAGTAGTGCAAACTGACCTAGTCCCATCTTCTAAAGAGATTGCACTTAAGAATTCCAGCAAACTTACAGGATTTTTTATTGCTCTACTTTGAAACTTTTGGCTTGAGGCCAATGGAAAGCTAAAATTGTTTAAAAGCATGTTGGAAAAAGATCGCCCTTTCACATAGCAAACTACTGATGGATGTATTGTGAATATTAAAGGCAATTTTCCTTTTCAAGTAATGCTTAACTTAATAATGCTTAATAGTCCACTTCAGACTACATTGGGGAAAATATGTAGCAATGCTTGTAACATTAACACCATGCAAGCTAGTCCCAGTTGAAGTGTCATTGCATACTAAAACTAGGCTATTTTTAAGCATTACTGAATAATATTACAGGTACTGCTTTTTTCCTATTAAGTCCAGTAGCCAAAACTAACTCATTAGAAGAAGAGCTCACCATCATGATGTAACTCCACCAAGTCTAATTTTGTTCTTCTCTTCTGCCCACTTAATGTGAATATATTTTGATGTATTGGGATAGCCATATTACTGTTTTTCAAAATAATATTACATGCTAAATTAAGACATTTCTGTCTGAATTCTGCAAATACCTACACACATGCCTGGCTTTACTCTGATAAATTGTTGCATGGAAGTCAAAGGGACTATACGGAAGAATCTAGTCAAGTTTTTGGACTGGTGATTGCAGAATCAGAAGCTGGCTCAGAAACACTATGGTTTTCCAGTTGATTTGTTGGGTCTGACCTCTTTTTGCCTATATGAATATTTACTATTAGAAAGCATTTTTTCTACTCTGCCACAGTCTGTCTTCTGTTGGCATGGATTGTCATGTAACTTTAGCATTCTAGTAATTCTTTTTACCTGGTCCTCTTTTGATCTGGTCTCTCAATTAAGTGTAGCTGCTGACTGAATTTCTTTGCCTCAGGTAGCCTATTACTTTAGAAAGGTGGTAGTTTTGTAGTTCATCCCCTCCTGATAGAAGAGGAAAAATACACTCCTCCTACCACAATAAGATACCAGAATGCCTTCACTTTCCTCATTGCACTGATTCAGTCTAGTTCCTTAGTTGCAAGGCTGGCTGTTCCCCTTGGGAGATCAGTCCCTCTCTCTTTACCCAAGCCCTGTACTAAGAAGCATCCATCTTCCAGCCAGGGCATTTCATTTTTCTCCTTCCTACCCTGATAGGCTTCCTTTCTCTTCCACCCA